GGTTATTAGTTAAATTTTTTTTTTCAGTTTTTTGCTCGTTTTGCGGGCTATGGTCCCCGTCTGTAGTCCCTCGTGGTCCGAGGCTCCTCTGTATAACTGTAATAATTGATCTGCATGGCGCACTGATCGTTTTTGTACTCCTTCCTGTGAATGTCTGGTTTGAGTCTGTAGCTTTAAATCAGACATGAACCGTAACAACGGCTCTGAACTTAGTGGATGAACCGGTGTGGTGTGTACACATAAACTGAGAAAACAACCGGTGGGCCTGTGTCCTTACACTCGCTCGTACCTGGCTGCAGCTGTTCTACCTGCAGAGTCCACCTGAGTGAAGTCTGTGCATGGACGTCTGTTTTGTTGCCTGCAGTACCGTTGTTGAACAAAGAGGGCAGCGTTCCTCCATCTCCTCTCCCCTGTGAGCTCAACACTGCCATCACCTGCCGAGATGACGTGGCCCCGTCCCCCATCCTGCCCAGGAGGCACACCCACCCTCCACCTGGCCTCCCCCACAAGCCTGGGAGCCAGGGTGACGGGCGGCAACGAAAGCGGCGACGCACCACCTCGACAAGGTCGGCAGATGGTGCTGGAAGCGCCATTGTCACAACGACTGCAGTTCAGCCAAGCAAATTCCAGACACCGTTAGTGGGAGGGGCTAAAGCTGCCAGGTGAGTGTGTCGTCTAAACTGAGTAATCACTGTGATCTGATTGGGTGTCGTTATCACATGACATCTGTACCACCTCCTGCAGGTGTGGAGGACCTCAGACTGGTTCCACTAACCCCAGAGAGAAGAAGAAGGACAAACACCGCTACCAGTACGGGAACCACAGCCGTTACTATGGCTACCAAGGTTTTTATGGAGACAAGTGGGAGGGGCGGGTTGGGGCAGAGGAAGACCCAAGGCTCCGGGTCCTTGAAGCTGATTGGTTCAGAGACAAGACGGTTCTGGATGTAGGCTGCGGCACTGGTCACATGACACTGGCTGTTGCCCGAAGATTTAACCCCACCCACATCTTGGGGGTGGAGCTAGACAAGCAGCTCGTCCGTGCTGCCATACAGAACATTAGACACTTCCTGTCACATGACCTGGTGCTGGAGGACAGACGGAAGAGGAAAGACACGGTATCCCCGCCTCCTCCCGAACAGGAAGGGGAGGGGGGGCAGGAGGAGTTGATGAAGGAGTTCCAACAGGCTCTCTCCCTCCTCTCCTTCCCTCTGTCTCTCAGGGTGAGTCGGGGCCCTCTCTCAGCTCCTCCCCTTCTCTCTCCTTCATCCTCTTCCTCCTCCAGGTTCCCCAGTAACATCACCTTCATCCAGGTGAGTCTCGCTCTCCATCAGACCCCTCGCTGGCGTCCAGCCACCGCTCACCACTGTGACTCCTCCCACAGGGCGACTACGTCTCAGACCGTGAAGCTTGGCCTGGGCGGGGCCATTATGATGTCATCATGTGTCTCAACGTAACCAAGTGGGTGCAGCTGCAGTCAGGTGACGCAGGTGTGGTTAGACTATTCAAACGAGCCTATCAGAGCCTGTCGCCAGGTGGAATATTTATCCTGGAGCCACAACCGTGGAGCAGCTACTGCCACAGCAAGAGAGCCTCGGTAACGCCTAGCAACATGAATATAATCATATGCAGTTAGTGTGTGTGTGTGAGAGAGAAACAGCATCTGTCCTTTGCTCATCCTTCTGACACAGTGTGATCGATGACAGCAGGAAGTATTCACACGTATAAAGATCAGATTTTACATGTAGAGATAACAGCAACAGGAAGTGACGGTGCTCAACACTGTGTGTCTATCACAGTCCCGTCCTTTAGAGTCGTAATGGTTTCCTAAAAGATCAAAGGGTATGAGTAACTATGGAGTAACTATGATCTGATATTTTGCATTAACTTTGTTAGTAAAAGTGTCCTTGTGTATTCATTTGCAACACTTTGAGCATTTTGGCAGAAGAATGAATTTATTCATGGGTACTGGTTCACTAAACACGCATGCAGGGAGCGTCTGTAAACATCTGTGCTTCTGTGTATATACAAGAACATTCAGCAGCACGTGTATCCAGTAAAAAGTTCATTTCTGTGGTTTTCCAGAAAACAACGTTCAGTCACTGCAGGAGTTTGAGGCTCAGGCCTGAACAGTTCACCTCCTACCTGACGGACAGCGTGGGCTTCAGCTCCTACAGACTCATCACACACGCAGGTGACAGCATGCACATACGCACCCATCAGGGCTCCGGTGTATTCTGGCTCATATTTGACCACTCGTTTTGGCAGGATCGGTAGAGTTAGTTAAATTTGTTAGTTTCTGGGAGATGGACCTGTCCAAAAACTTTCCATGAACTTGATCTGTGAGCTTTGGGAATGCCGTTGCAGGCGTTTTAATTTTAGCCTGCTTTATCCCTCCCAAAACCAGGTCTGATGTGTTTGTGATCATTGCCTGTAGGAACACTGAGTTGTGTTCAAAGTTTAATCATCTTGCTGTTAAATAATAAACCATTAAACATGTTTGCCGTACACTAACCCAGAAAAAAGAAAAGTTAAACATTAGCCGGACACTTGTGCCTGTGTGAGTGGATGGATGACCACACCTGTAAATACAGTGACACAGATGCTGAAGTATGTGAGCCAGCTAATGCTACCCAGCCTAGCTGTATCCATAGACTGTATGTTAGCATTACTGCTGATGATTGATATCCCAGTAAAATCCTGCAGTTTCACTGAGCACACCTGCCGCTCACACCTTGGTGATGCCTTGTTAGTTAACAGCAGCAGGCCTGAATAACTGCAGACGTTTACCTGAAGACTGTTAGACTGCACAGGTGTGTGTGTGTGTGTGTGATCTGAGCTGTCTGCTTGTGTTTCCAGGTAACCAGCGGCCCATCTACCTGTTCCATAAAGGCTCTGTGCAGAAGAAGTGAGCTCACGCCTTCGGCGTCCTTCTGTTTCTATGGAAACAGCATTAAAACTGTGACTGAACAAACTGCTGATGTCGCACAGCAGAAGAGAGAGAACTGGAACCTGATTGGATGGCATTACTCCTGTGGATGTGATTGGTTGAGTACAGGTGTCCATGTCCACCTAAACCAGTAACATGATTTTTCCATTCAATGAGATTTCCCCACACAGAAGTGATATCATGTGTCTGATGCTGGGATTATACTGGTTGTTGATCAGATCAATAAGACAGTAAAGCACAAAGAAATAACTGCGTTTCTATTGGCCGCTGGATACCAACAGGAAGTGGTTTTTCATATTTCTTCCACTGCTTTTTTTTCCTGTCAAAATAAAGCTACTGACTCAAAATCCCTGAATTAAGGCTGCTCATTTGTCTTTCAGGTTTTATGTATAAAAGTACAACATATTGTGAACTCCTCACAGTATGACCTGAATTGGCATTAAATTTGTTAAACCTGCCTCAGATTGTCTCTTTCATGCTCTCTGCTAATAAGCAGTTAGATGGAGACCTGGAAATTCAGAGGATCTGTGGAAAGCTGCAACAACATAACAAGGAGGAGTACCATCTCTACTCCAGGTCCTTCCTGAAGGATCAAGCTCCCCATTCCAACCCTAAGAAGGACAGCACATATCCTTCAGAGGAAGAGGAACAGAGTCAGTGTACAGCACTGGTGGAGTCCAACATGACACCATGTGAGGTCTGCAGCAAGCAGGTTTATCCAAAGAAGACATCAGGAAACTCTGATCTAATCAGTGCACAAAGAAGACATGAGGTGTCCAGTGATGGTCGGGTGATCAGACGTGAACGAGGACTACAAACACAGCAGACTTGATGTTCCTGTAGGAGCTCCTCCTCAACCTGCTTCATGTGCCGCTCACAGCCTGAAACAGCTTCAGGATCTCAGCAGCTTCTCTTTAAAGATTCAGTCAGTTTTGGGATTGTTAGCTGTTACACTAAGATGACAGGGGCAGAAAAGCATGCTGGGAGCTGTAGTTCTGAACAAAAGACAGATCCATTCATTAGATTTTCAGTCGCCACACAGAGTGGAGCTTTTAGTTATTTAATGGTGTAATTGTGCAACTTTGCCACAAGAGGGAAGTAGTGGACCGTGTTAGACTGCTGACAGCCTCAGAGTGAACGTCTCACTCTGCTGTGTCCACTCGTCACTCCAGCACTCGAGGGTCGGCGTCCTGACACGAGGTCATTAGAAGGACTGACTGCATGCTGAGGTGGTAGTTCAGCCATTAGAGTCATGATTTAACAGCTGATGAGTGAATGAACGTGGTGCAATAGAAGCGCAGTATTCTGAACACTTACATTTAATTACATGTGTTTGACTCCGGGGTTTGCACCTAAGCATGCCGTCAGTCTGGCTAATGACCTCCTATATTTAGGTGTGCTGTGCAGGCACGTGTAAAGGTTTCAGTCAAACTGACTGTGAAGTGGATGGTCAAAGAAATTAACACGAGCCTTCCTCAGCATGTTTGGTATAAATGGCTAAAAGTCTGTCTTGCCCTGAGAGTTTGCTGTTCTTCAGTCGTGTTGCCAAACAAGGCAGCGATGCAGAAAGACACGACAGATTCAACTTCTGTATAACAAGGACAGCATTTCAGATGAGACAATATGAGATTTTTCTTTAAAAGAACCGTCCTTTTGTTAGTGCAAAACACTTTGTGGTCAACAACAACCCTTAAATACGTGTAACTCTCCACAATCCCAATATCAGCAGCTTTAATAATTGTAGGTGATGACTTATAAGAAGACTTGTGAGTGAATGTAGTAACTGAGGGGAGTCCTGCTGTGTCCCTGAGGTCCAGGAGGAGGCGCAGGAAAGATGACGAGGAGGAGGAGAGGTAACAGTCCACCTCACAGGTGAGACTCGTTGGTACCAGCCGGTGAGGAAGCTGCAGGAGTTTGTGTGTTAGCTGTGTTAGCTAACTACAGACTGATGTCTAATCCTCCTTTCATCATCTTCATGCTGTTGCCGTAGTAACAGCTGAGCTGTAGGTGAAAACTGAATCACCTGAAAGACTCACAAACAACGTCTGAGTAGCTCTTTATTAGCTTTAATGGATTAAACTCACAAATAAATGACACGCAGCCTCCCTGCAGCAGCGTCCACGGCTCCCACTCATGCTCACTGCTCACCTGATACTCGCAAAGCTTTAAACAGGACACGAGTACAGAGTAACGACACAAACTGATCAGTATGAGGAAATGAAGCAAAGTGTTTCCAGTATAATTGATACCATCACACCGGCTCCACTCTGACATCACTGATCAATAACCAGCTGCTTCTATTCCTGATGTGCTGATCTCTCCCTGCAGGAGACACGACAGCTTCACACACAAACACCATAAAATAATAAGTGAAATCATAGAGAACCAAGTGACAGTGAACAAACGCCCGTAAGTGTGAGCAGCACGACCCCGATGAAGTTTCCTGGCTCCAGGCCACACAGCTGTATCTGGCTCTCTGTGGGGCGTTTAAGGGTCAGGCTGAACCGTCCGCTCGTCTTTCTTTCACTCGGTCTCTGTGATGCCGCTCCTGTTTGTCAGGCTTCTCAGGACGGTGCCACCGCTCCACCCGAGTGTCTTCAGGCAGCTGAGCTGTGGTTTTGAAGGGCAGCCGGACAGACTCCGCCCCCTCCTCCACCCGACACTCTGAGAGAACAGCAAACACAGCATGAGGTGTACAAACAGCAGCAGGTGTCACAGTTGTGGAGAAAGCAGAGCAGAAGGTAACAAAGCACAGCACATTAGAAGCAGCTGCTGAGCTGATCACAGTCTGATGGGATTTTTTCTCCTGTCAGCTGCTGCGTGGATGTAAAAATGATCATTCAGCCAAAGGTGCTCCAAATAACTGTCTTAATACTCCAATAAATATTATATTTAACCTCCTAAGACCCGAACTCCTACATGACATGCATTTTTAAATTCTCTTTGCTATTTGGGCTGATTGGGACCTGAAGAATGCAAAAACAGAGAATTTCCAGATTTTTTTTTTTTTACCTGATTTTTGTCTCTGAGAAAAATGAGATCCACATGAGAGGACATTCGTTTTAATTTTTGATAGAACAGCAGCAGTATAATGTCCTCGTTAGTGGATATCAGGCCCTCGTGGAGCAAATTTTTGTATTTTGGTCTAGACGTCCCAAACTGTGATGTCCAAATATGTGGCGGTCCATGGCGGTTAAAGACAATCGTAAAGTTCTGTTTCCAGTTTGTCATTATTACAAACAGACATGATCTATGGATGAAATGGATGGAGATAATGGTCCTACCGTCACAATGAGTTTGACCTTTGACAAAGCTCCCCGTCCATCAGTGCTTTAATCATGATTTAAAACTTTCTCTAATAAATCACTTTCATGCTGCCTCAGACTAAAAGCCTTTATTTCACCCACCTCTCTTAGCTGTTTAACTGATTCATAGCTTTAATTTTATTGAAAACATTCAACCATTTAAAAGATTATTAATTTCTATCAACAGATTTTTAACAGGGACTATAAGGAAAGAGGACCTTTATCCCATATTAGCTCCTCTTAATAATAATCACAGTAGGTGCCTGCAGATCTTTGTCCATGTTTTACATCCTTCTTTACACAGATGTCTTTTCACATTTGTTGTCATGTTCATTTGAAAGCTGAGCCCTCCATCTGCCACAGCGATGTTACCTGCATCACTTTATTTTATAGCGGCTGGAAGATTTCTGAAAGTCACCAAAAACAACAAAAGTGGGACTTCCTGCTCCTCACAGAGGACTTCCTGCCAGTTCAGACAGAAATAATAACCAAAGTATGAACAGCATTTCTTCATTCACATGACCTTTGACCTCTGACCGCTGAAGGTGGCTGACCTTTTCTGCTTCCTCTTCCATCCATTTCAAATTAAAGGCCCTCCTAATAGCTGCTGGACAGTTTTGTACTAACAAGGCTTTTATTGTGAAACACTGAGAAACATTTGGAAACACTGATTTTGTTCTTAAGAGTATGTGTGGCTCTGACAAACGCTGCGTTCCTTGCTGTGAGAGACAGAGTGTCTCCTCCGTCTGTGTTTAGCTTCCTGTGAGGACAGGAAGTGATGCGAAGGCTTATGACGTGTGAAACTATGAGGAAGCTGAACTCTGTGGCAGTCTGCCGTGATGTTTGGCTGCACACACTAAACTGAAAGAGAGTGTGTGTGTTTTAGTATGCAATAAGAAGTGAAACACACGCACACTCAGTTTGTTCACATGAGGACAAAAAAACTTTATTTAACTAGGCTTGTGTGACAAGAAGGCAGGAGAGTCTGAGTTTAAGGCTCTGCTCAGATGACTCACACAAGCTCGGCAAGTTTCTGTGGCAGCTTTACCTGAGACACGAGGAGGGAGGAGACTAGGACGCTGAGGATGGTGCAAGGTTAAATGTAAGGAGAGAACCAGAACAACAAAGAGGCCTCCTCCTCCTTTATGGGAAACACGATGAGGCGAAGGAGACCCGACGAGAAGGCGCTCAGAGTACGTGACTGCTCTAAATGGAGGCAGCTTCCTGGTGTGATGGTCAACAGGTGTGGGTCTGTTGAAACATCCTGAAGGTGGAGTTTGACTGCAGGCTGGAAGCAGTCACACTTCATGACAGCGCTCATCTCCCTGCTGCACACACGGCTCCGTCTAACTCTTCTTCTTTATTTCCAGATTAGAGATCAGCAGGCATGAAGTCATCACCTGTGTGTGCCTCATTTACTAACGTTTCTATGGAAAAGTTCAAACTTGGAGCTTTCACACAAAATTTTCATAATCAGATTTATGATGTGCTGTTCTTCTTCTTCCTGGCCGCTGTGTCAGTGGGGATGGTGTTCGTGTTGTAGCGTCCTGATGACACCCAGTTTGTGCTCCAGTGGATGATGAGAGTCAAACCTTAAATACTGATCCGTATGCGTTTATGGTAGGGCTGCACGATTAATCGTTAGAAAATCGCGATCTCGATTCATGCTTATGTGCGATCTCATTTCCAAATGACAACAATTAAAAAAAAAAAAAGATGACGACGATTGTACCGCATTTTAATCCGGGACGTACTCTGCATGAAAACAAGCGCTCACTCTTCCTGCGGAGCCTTATAAGGGCGGAGCCTTATACCACGTGATACAGAAGCTGTGCCGTGTGACGCTAAAATTAGCAGGAAAAAACAACGGAGAGCACGTCAGGGATGAGGAGAAAATCCGTCCCGGTCAACCACCCAAACATCAATAACGGGAACCTTGTACAGCGCTTCCCTATACACGTCGAACTCCCGCAGGCACAAAGAAATTACGGAGGCTATCACTTATCACCTGACCAAAGATATGGCTCCATCAACACTGTGCAAAACGAGGGATTTAGGAAAACGATCAACACCCTAGAGCAGGGGTGTCAAACTCAAATACACAGTGGGCCAAAATTCAAAACTGGAACAAGGTCGCGGGCTAACATTAATATTTATTGAAAAAAAAATCTTCCTCCAGATTTAAGAATGAATCTCTTCTTATGGACTCAAACAAGTTTTGCTGAAAAACTGAATATGGAACAAGCAAAGCTTAATACTAAACAATATATGTATTAGCTGTATAATACCAGTAGGCCAGCTCTGATAGTCATTTGGTATGGCTTCGCGGGCCAAATGTAATTAGGCTACGGGCCAAATTTGGCCCGCGGGCCAGAGTTTGACACCTATGCCTTAAACAAACGCTACACAGTGCCGTCCCGCAACTATTTTTCTATTGTTGCACTACCTGCTACCGTCGAGCAACGGTGGAGACAGAATTTCAAGCAGTACAACATTTTGTTGTTTTTATGTTTATTTATTGTTTTTATGTTCAGTCTCACCTGTTACGAAGTTGATGTGCAGTTAATAAGTGCAATAAATATTTATACTGGAAAAGAAAATCGTGAGAGAATCGTGATCTCAATTCTAAGCCAAAAAATCGTGATTCTCATTTTATGCAAAATCGTGCAGCCCTTTGATGATGGAAATCTCACAGTCTAAGAAGGCTAAGAAGGCTAACCTGCCACTTGTTATTATTTGTATTATTTTGATATTATTGAGCCATGATGGCGCCTTTGAAACTGCATCTGCTCTTCTTCTGCTCCATCCAGATGTTTGCATCACCTTGTTTTACACACTGACTCCATCAGGTTACAGAGAGCTAAGTGATGAATGACTGTTTCATGCCACAGACTGCAGATCAGTCAGTGTTCTGATGGCGCTGATCTGTCATCACAGTCACATGACTTCCCCTTGTGTGAATTAATGTGTTCTATTTAGTTCTGCAGTATTTTATTTCTAGAGTACATCTGCATTTTATTCATTTCACACAAACTGTTGATGTAATGTCATCAAATGTGCACTAGATGTCAGTAGCCATCGGTGGATAGAGTACATCAACCTCTCTGAATACACAAACATACATGTGCGCTTAAATGAGCTGACATTATTGATCTGGACTGATGGATCGCCTTTGTTTTTAATAAGTCAGTGTTGCCATGGAAACTACACTAACACACTATCTAAGCATTCAGTGGATTTGTTTGACTTCAGTCTTGCATGGAAACAATAACCTGACATCTTTGATCATAAGTTTCAGAGCGTCGCCTGTAACCATGGTTACTGACCTGCAGCCTGACGTCACTCTGAGCAGCTGCATGTATGAATGTACACACAGGTATGCAGCTGCTCAGCTCGGTGGATGTGCTGGTGGAAACAGTGAGTGTGACAGTGATGGGCAGACGCATCATGAGCACGTGACTGCTGTCAACACACACACATGCACAAGTGTATAAAGGTCTGTACCCCTGTGTCCTGCTCCCAAGAGGAAGAAGGAGCTCTGAGCAGCGTCACCACCACTGCTGAGAACACAAACATGTCCACTAAAGCTTTGCTGGCTTTGATTCTTCTCTGCCTGTTTACAACTTCTGTAGGTGAGTGTTTGCATGAGAAAGATGGAAATCCTGTGTTTTGTCTGCACAGCAGTGTTCATGCACAGCTATATGTGTCTGTTTCTACACGCGTGCATCATTTAGACTCTTCTGATGTTGGAAAGAAAATGAAAACAGCGTTTTCTTCACTTATGTGACCAAAAACTGCTGTTTTCTTTTCTATTCTACGTGTTTATTTTTGCATTTCTGTGAAGATTCAGACATCGGCACTAATTATCTTCCACATGTCAATATTACCGTGTGCTCGAATATCAGATTTGGAAGGACCGCTTGATTGTTTGAAGTCTCTGTGCTAAATGACAGATCCTGATTCAAGCGCATGAGAAGTAAAAGCAGTGATTTGAGGCTCTTATCTTTATAGTTTTGGATATATTCTTGTTTAAGCATTGCCTGAGATTTCAGTGTGCAGAAAAAGGACATGAAAATGAGTGGAAAGAGCATTTTTATATACAACAATTGATACATGAAGACACATTTTGACAGCAGTGGCGTTTCCACGCCAGATTTACCAGGGTGGGCTCTGGGTGTTTTTTCATGGGGGCACAGAACCAAAACAAGAGGCAACATTGAACTGTTTCATCTATGAAGTGAATTTATTTGGAGCACAAACAAAGTGAACGAACATTTAACAATCAAACAGGAGATTTCACACCCTGCACATCTTTAAAAAGCACTGACTGACATCACTATGGACCGAAACGCCTGCACGCATGGCAACAGGCAGAGTCCATAGTTACAGAGAAGTTGAGGAGGACTTTCCTACCAGCTGGGCTGGAAGCTGCGCCTCCTGTCCCCCATTCATGTGGTGGGGATCGTCCTCAGACTGGGGGGTCGTCCTCCCTCCTACTGATGTCTGAAAAGAGACGAACGTGGAGTAAACATGAGGTTGTAACTGAGAACTACAGTAACTTATTACTTTATCTTTTCATTAGTGTTAATGATACTGTGTGGAGTGTAATCACAGGGCAGCCCGTGTCCTCCTCTCTGTAGTTCCCTCACGCTCTCCATCTCCATCTTTGCTATCAGGGAACAAATGTCTGCTTTTCTTTAATGTCAGCTGATGTTGTTCCAGCTGTGACGCTGAGCTCTCAGCTTCATTTTTCATGTACGGTTAAAGTAAAAGGATGAAGTCTGTCTCTGAGCCTGCGCGGACCGGATTTGTTCAGTGTTAAAGCCATGAAGCTGGATTTCACTGTGACGTCAGCGAGCCGCTTACCTTGGTCTCTTCACCTGTTTCCACGTTAGTCTGCTTTAACGATTTGGCTTCTTTCTGAGCGCGAATGTGCTGAGAGAGCGAGTGTGCAGCGCCCTAAAGAGTCCGTGATAAACACAAACTAGAACACTAGTTCCAGTCCCAGCGCTCAATTAATTCTTCATCGTCTCTTCAGGCTTCACGGGACCGCGGGACAGTGAGAGACAGCCGCCTCTCGTCCGCCGCACAAGTCTTCTTGCGCGTCTACACTCCGCTTTACGGCAGCGCCTTTTCTCCTGCGCTGATCACATACGGGCGCGCGCACACATACAAGCAGTCTGATTGGATCATATTAAAAAAAATCATTAAAAATCATCCCTGAGAGTCGACGTGAAACTTTGAACACATTCTTCCTCTGCTCCACCTGCTCTACACCTGTGCTGAGTGTCATCTCAACCAGCTTTCATACTCTCGAGAAATTAAAGACAAACTTTACACTTAAACTTAAACTTAAAATCAACTTGAAAACTTTAAAGGAATGTGATAATGTCATGTTAAACATTTAAGAAAAATAATCTGTGATAGCTGACGTGAATTTCTCAACAGACTCCTCCTCTTTGACACTCACACTACACGTGTTTCACCTCAATCCACTACATAATTCTGGAGACATTGCAGGGCTTTTTGGGTAACTCCTGGACGATTGGGGAGGGGACCAGAGAAAACGACGAGTCCAACATTGTTTCGGCAAAGTTCCACGCACAATGGCACCTGCTCTGGCCCCTGGAAGACAATTGACTTCTAACTTAAATGTGCTCAGAGCAGAAAAACAGCATATAAGAACGACTCCATTTACATGTCTCAGAAAAGAATTGCCAATTACCAGAGTTTGATCCCCAGGGGGTGTCGCAGAGGGGGGAAATGGTCAGACACATGAACAGGTTGGTGGTGTTCTGAGGCATCTGTTTATGACTATCCTTCTTCCTCACCATCACACAGTCACCCTGTTTGCCCGGCTGTCTAGCTACAGGTTTTTCAATGACGTGAAGCCGAGTCTCCAATTCAGTGAGCTGCTAACAGGCTACATTTATTTCAAGTGTCATTACTGCTTAAGAAGGCTGAGGAGTAACTAAACATCTGACACAGTGAGCAGGACAGTGCAGGAGGGACAGGTGAAGAGGCCATGCTGCTAGCGAGTCGGCTAAGAGCCAAGCTAGCAAAACCCTCAAGACACAATAAGTGATTACTGACAATAATTGGCAAGTGAATACACAGAGAGTGTGCTCCAGATGAAGCACGTCAAGATTACACTATGAAATAAGAAGTTTTTCTATAAGTTTTTTACTGAATTGGCTACGCAGGCAAGCTACACAAAAGCACCACTGAAGCTCGAGCACGTGTCAAAATAATTCATGCAATGCTTCAGGAACACTGTGCCGAGGCTTGGTTCATCTGAACGGAGTTAGTGATCAGTCATCAAGTTCTGCTTCAGCTTTGGTGTCTCTGTGCGAGCGATAGTGAACCAGTATGTGTGGTAATGACAGTCGTCATGGAGCCAGCGAGGAAAAGAGGACGCTCTGCTTGTTGCTAAATAACAACCAGGCCATCAGCAATTCTGCCCCCGGGTCTGAAATGTACAGTGACAGAACTTTAACATGATGTTAAACAGAAGCTGTCAGCTCGGCTCTGTTAAGTGGACAGTCATAATGAAGAAGTTGTAGATTCAATCCTCCTTTCATAAGTTTGGCCACCAGATGTCACCAAAAAGGTGTTGGAAAGACTCGAGTAATGAACCTTTTTCAACTCGAGCTTCAGAAAGTTTCATTTGGCCCTCATTACCACTGTGTGTGTTGTAACAGGAACAGGATGTGATGCTCCACCACAAAGAGAGCAAACACCAAGTGACAGCAACACCGGAAGCCAGAAGACAAAATGTAAGAACCCCGAATCTCTTCTACACCTCACTTTTATACCTGCTCACCCTTGGAGATCCAATCAAGTTGTTGACATTTAATCATGTGACATCCTCCTGTCTTTCACTAACTTGGCCTTTACCCACTGTGACAGTGATGTGAATCATAAAATACAATAAAACTTTCACAAGAGGAGCGTAGAGCAGGTCTCCTCTGCTGAAGGCTCCTGTGTTTGGCACAGCAAAGCATTCAGACCATGAGTGTGCTTGCTACAACAGCCACACAAGATTTAAATGATAATAATAATAACTATAATTTTTTAAAAAACGACTTTTTTTCCTTTTATCTTCTCGAACAACAAGGTCTACATATAACTTTTTTCCTGGGAGACATCACTCAGCAGCATCCGGGCGGATGAGTAATCCACTTCAGATTCCATCTGCTATTTAAGTTACCTGAACTTAAGACTCTGTGGACAGTCAAACACTGACTGCACTATTTATGTATCAACCTTTAGACGCACAAACACTGATCAGTGATCAATCCACTCTGCAGTTTACAATCCAAGGCCCAGCAGATGAAAACTGAAAGACTTTCAAATCACATGAGCCAATATTTTATTCACAACAAAACATAAATGCTTGTGTGTGTGTGTGTGTGTGTGTGTGTGGGACTGTTTGTCATTAAAGGTACTTGAAACAATGATTCCCAGTCTCAGTGATACCAACACTCTCTGTCCTGTTTTGTCTCGTCTCCTGCAGACCTGACAATCATCAGAGCTGTGCGTGGACAGGATGTCGTTCTGCCGTGTCAGGTTCATAAAGATTATCCCATCGCGGCTGTGGTGTGGAGGAGAATTGACGTGAAGCCAGTAGAAGTGCTTTTGTACCAGAGCAAGCCAACAAGTATCCACCTTCAAGGAGCCGCATGCATCTGATGGATAGAAGGATGAACAATGGAAATTTGTCCTCGGCTCTGCAGAATGTGCCTGAGAGTGGAATATATGAGTGTCTGGCCATCGACACAGAAATGCACCAGTGGAAGACTCCCACTGAGAACGCTGACACCATCAACACCATCCAGCTGATAATTGATCCAGAGGGTGAGTTTGTAGAGTCGTCCACAATCCTTTCTCTCTGATCCTTATACAGCGCCAAATCACAACTACAGTTACCTTGGTTACGCTGCAGTCTAGGCTGCTGGGGGAGTGTTTCTTCGTCTTTCACTCTGTGTTTAGACACCTCTCTGCATTGAATCATTAGTAATTATTATTCCCTGGCTCTCTTCCCCAGCGTGTCTTTTGTCCTGTCCACGTCCCCTCACCTCTCAGATGGCTGCGCGTGGTTCTTTTCCTGTCACCAAACTGCTTGCTTAAGGGGGGTAGGGGGTGCACTGCAGGACACTTGGAGCATTGTTCTTTCAGTTACAGCCCCTTGATTATTTAATTTGATCAAGAAAGAAATTAATATTAAAGAGAATTTAAAGGAGTATGAAGGCCCTTGGATAAAACGTCTGCACACATGAGGCTGAGGTACTAGGAGTTATAGGACAATTAGTGTAATAATGACTTACAATTATTACACAGTTGTTCTCAACAATCTACACTCACTGCTCGTGTTGTTAGGTACACCTTGTTAGCACTGGGTTGTCCCACTTTTAACTTCAGAACTGTCTTAATCCTTCAAGGCATAAATGCAACATGGTGCTGGAAACCTTCCTCTGACATTTTCTTTTATGAAGATATTGGTGATGAGACTTTGTAGAAAGCAGGGAGCAGATCATGTCTCACACCTGTCTCCTGTTTCTCACCTGCAGCTCCAACACTGAATGCTGGCGAGAGGCGGTTTGCTCCACCTACGTCTCTTCTGGTATTTTTGATTTTGGGTCTTCTCTCATGTTTCTGTTTCTCTCTTTAATCTTGATGATGCTGTAAACACCGACCTCTGACCTGAAACTCCTGCCTCTGAGTTTAAACAGAAACTTATTTGATGTTTTCATTCATTTGGTTTTTATTTTGCTTTGGGATTTTTTTCATATAACATCTATCATTTAATGTGTGATGTGACATTTTTCACTTACAGCTAAATACACAAGCACTCACTGTGGCTGTGAGGATAAGTGATTATGCTGAGATTACATGTAAAGGGTGGAAACTGTTTTCTTTTAGTGGTTTGTCTTTAAAGATAATCACAGTGGTTGATTCACCGCAGTTTTCCTCTTATATCTACAGTTTTCATGGGTCATGTTTTAAGGGAGGTACTTGTTTAGCATGTTTGTACTCACAGGCAGGACTCACAGTAGTTTCACTGACTTTTATGATGAAAACAAGACGATAACTAAACACCTCTGTCAGTAAACAAGATCCAATCAGAAGTGCAGTAAGTTTAAAGCACATGTTTGATCTGCCCCCACCAAACGGTGCAGCTCTTTTAGCAAACAGTGAAACTGTTTCTCATCCACTATCACCAAAACTAAATGACACTGTTGTCAAAAGACTCTGCACACGTTCACGAACAGACTGAATTTACTCCACTAACAGTACAGACCAATGTTAGCCAATCAAATCAGTGTTTGTGGAGCATCAAATATCACTGCAGCAACTATCAGCGTGTTGCACATGAACACAGTCAGTAACAGGCAACTAGCATGGCTAACATTAATGCTAATGAAGGCATGGCTAGCGTGTGTCGTCACTGGGCATGCTTGCTATGCTATAAACTGATGCTATGCTAGAGCGTTAATGGTTCCTGTAGTCCATGATTTAGAGCAGGGGTGTCACACTGACTTTACATGTCAGACCACATGCAGTAATTATATTTATAAGTGGCTTTAAATGCACATTCAGCCTGTGAGACTCATTGATACTCAGTCAGACTCTGAGCCGCGGCTCTGCCCATATGGAAAAGATCTATGTAAATCTTATAAAGTTTGTATCTGTCTTGTGTGAAACTTGTATGAAAAGCATACAAGAGTGAAAAAAAATATAAGATCCCTTGAAAAATTATATAAATGAAATGTGCCTTATATAAGAAGTAGGCCAAATCTGATGCAAGTCTTTTATAAGTGTTTCTATTTTTTTCCATATGGGTGTGCTACATGCTCACATTTCTGCATCTCTGTATTTCAGAGACACTTTGTATTAACTTTATTTAATCTAATATTCAACTCTGAACTCTAACTTTAGTCTTTTTAACAGAGGCTATTTTTTTAAACTTGCTGTCCTTCTTTAGCATAATGGTGTGACCCAGTCTGTCTTAGCATGTGATTGGCTGCATGGTCCCACCTCTGTCTGCATGGAGACCAGCAGGGCTGAAGATTCAGCTCCACATTAATCATTAATAATAACTGACATATGAACGTGTATCAGGGCCTGATGCGGCCCG